CAATTTTGAGAAATATGTTAAGTTAATAAAAAATAAATATCCCTTCCTGTTTATTGTGTCAATATAATAAAAGTCAATATAGTGAGTTTCAGGCCATTTTGAACCATTTTGAGCTATTTAGAGCCATATCATTCGCCCAGGGTGAATGATACTAAATGCCTCTAAATTCTTAAGAATCAAAACAGTGGGGGTCGTGTCAAAAAGACATGGTCAAGGGCTGAGTCATTTGAAAAAATTGTATACAACTAGAGGKAGGGGGGYATGTTTTTTTCGAGAAACTTTAAAAACCACCAGACCCCCCTCCTGATAAAAAATGAACAGCAATTCATCAATATGMATGGTGGTCACGGTCTCGAATCCTGAGGCTGAATCTATTTATCCCGATAAAACGAACTCTCGTTGGTTCTATAACCACAATCGATGGCTTTTCGTTGTTGCAGAGTGTTCAGGAATCTTTTCGAAATACGTCCAAATTAACAAAAATTGCATAGTTACATAACAGCTATACCGTTTGCATTGCTACGTGGCCTATAGAATCAAAAAGAAAAGGTAAAAATAAATACATTCTACTAGATACTGGTAGTACCGAGTATCCCCACCCAGTGKMMATTGTGTAAGACCTCGAGGGCGTGTGGACAACGAGCTGATAGTCTATGAGGTCGAAGACCGAATGGTCAGAATGGGCTATCCGACCCACGAGGCCGAGAGGTCTAAAGTCATTGTGATTGGCTGGCTAGAACAAAAGGCTCTATTGTTTATGTCTCGTTCTTTAGAGTCACGCTATGTCTAGCCAGCCAATCACAATGACTTTTGTTTAGAGCTGCGAGACCTGGGTCAGGTCGCAACGCCAAAGAACATTGTTGGTAATTGGTTGGCTCAACACAGCGTCAATGTTCTTTGTCAATGTTCTTTGGCGCTGCGGGGACCCSACCCGCTTACGGGTCCAATTGAATTTGCATAAATTCTCGCCAACTTCGTTTGATACGCTTGGCATGTTTGACAAGTGAAAATCAATTTACTCCGGCCACTCACGACCACTACATTGAATGTTTTTAGCACACAACATTCCTAAAAGAAACTAAAAAGACCAACTTGTTTGTTATGGGATTATAAAGAACAAAGAAAAAACAGTATGAAGTTGGTGGTTTTTATCACCAATGAGTCCACCAATGAATGAAAATGTATTAGTGTCAAACTACAAAATATGATACAAGAAAAAAGTGCAGAATAAAACAAAAAGTATAAACTACAGTTAAATGAAAACTACTGCAATCCATGATTGATTTCATCCAACTATTGAAAAACTAAACCGTTGTTATCAATTAATGATTTGGTTTATATGAAAGCTCAAGGATAACCTGTCCTCCGACAAACGTGTCATAGAATCGCTCCGGTTTGTAACCCAGCTCCTTACCAACCACCTGTATATGCTCCATCCACTCTTTTTTGGTCAAGAAAGGAGTGCCGGCGATGCTCAGCGAATGGATTGATTGTGCATCCATTTCTATTCCATTTATTCCTACTTTGTCATCATCCTCTTCAGCTACCATCATCAAATCAACTATCAGAAGTCTTCCACCTTTGGNACACTTGGACCTTTGTCTCGTCTTAACACTTCCATGCTTTCATTCTTAGTGAAATGCTTATTTTCAAGCTCTCTACCGATTCCCCATCGAGCGAGAAGTCTCATCAAGGCGTATAGCTGCGTACTTGACTGACAACCTGACTTTGTAGCGATCTCTTCAATACTCATGGATGGCTTTTCGCTGTTGCAGAGTAGTTCAGGAATCTTTAAACCAAGTATGACTGCAATGGATCGGTTTTTCCATAGAGAATGCATTATGGATAGCACGTAAGCTTCTTGGGAGCTAACGGCCATTTTTTGAGGTGTCTGCTCCATCGTTTGAACGACCTGCAGTTGCTATTAAAACGTTTTGAATATAATCTGCCAAAGATGACCTTGAAATTGACCAAACGTTTGTGACAATTTGCATAAATTAAGGGATGGTCTGGTGGTTTTGTTTTGGGGGGGAAGGCACCCAAACAAAAACCAATTTAGGGGGGTTAAGTAGTCAATGTCCCCACTTGGGCTTCAATAATTAATAATATCCTAAAAATTAATTATTCTAATGAGTTCAGTTTGAGCGTGCAAAGAGAGAACGTTCTGAGATTTAGTTTCACATCCCCATGGAAACTGAGACTGCAGAGCACCTGCAAAGCAGGCGCTACCAATTTGAAGCCTAATGTTCACGACGACGACGACGAAGAAGAAAAAGAAGACTATACGATCATGGATCGCTTACGTGGGCTTCCTGTAGCTGCGATAATGGGTCAGCTGTCGCCATTGAGCTATAAGTATTTCATTTTCATTACAGAGTATTTGTTTGAGGTAGACAGAATTAAGTCAATTACCATTATTTATTACATCTTAATTTTTTACCGAACTGAGGTAAATACTAATACAGACTTTGTTGTTGTTTTTTTGTCACATGATTTACATTCATGGCTTATCAACAAACCAGCTGGTCACAGTGAGACTGCAGACCACCTGCAACGCAGGCGCTACCACTTTGAAGCGTAATATTCACGACGAAGGAGAAAAGTCCACTGGCATTTCTAGACGGATAATAACCCTGAAGTGGAACACCAACTGATGGAGTGATAACTGGACAGAAAAAGAGACTACTGGTTTAAACAATAAATACTCGGTGTAGACATACAAATTGAAAGCTTTTGCATTAGTAACAAGTGCATTTTTATCGAATATCGCCACAACATTTTCCTAGATCCCATAAATGCAATTCCCCTCTGTCCCCTCCTTATTCAATATCAAGGGTTGGTAAAATACATAAACCTTTCTGAAAATTCTTTGATTATGCAAATCAATTGAGTAATAAAGATAATCGTATACTCAAGTATTAATTCGACATGCTCTACTACCGAAGCGAATAATAATAACGGATCAACAGCACGTCTTTTGTCAGATGGC